AGGAAAGCAGGACAGTAGGAAAGCAGGAAAGTAGGAAAGCAGGAAAAGACGAAAGAAGGAGAGAAGGAAAATAGGAAAGAAGGAGAAAAGGAAAGTAGGATAGCAGGAAAGCAGGAAAAGACGAAAGAAGGAAAGCAGAAAAGTAGGAAAATAGGAAAGAAGGAGAGAAGGAAAGAAGGAGAAAAGGAAAGAAGGAGAAAAGGAAAGTAGGAAAGCAGAAAAGAAAAAAAGCAGGACAGTAGGAAAGAAGGAGAAAAGGAAAGTAGGAAAGCAGGAAAGAAGGAAAGCAGGACAGTAGGAAAGAAGGGAAGCAGGACAGTAGGAAAGCAGGAAAGTAGGAAAGCTGGAAAGAAGGAGAGATTGGATTTGTTGGATTTTGAGTGTGAAAACAGTAAAAAACGTCCTCATGGAATTTCATAATCTTGCGATAGTACAGTTTTAGATAAAGTTTCGATCCACTTTTTCCCATTTTCTTACACTATAAACTTCGAAAAGGTACATTTACGTAATCAGCGTTGAATTCTGAACAAACTGGCGCATTCAATTTTTTAAAACAACAACTTTCATTTTTGGCTCAACTTCTAGCCGTTGGAACACGAAATTTTTCGATAACTCATTTAGAAGTAAAATACACTTCTTTAGATACAGGATTCGACGATGGTACGACTCTGATGTTTATTTTGCACTTACTGTTCGAGCAGTATCGACTCTGAGTCAAAAAGCAAAACAAGATTAAATTCCGTGACGACAACTGTTTTCGAAGTTTCTCTGAGTGGATTGATCTGTTTCAATAAAACGAGTAGATATTCTGTAAGCTCGTTTCAAATTCCACAACTTTTGTCTGAAAAGTTGTCCGGTAGCCATCTTAGTTTCGTATAAAAATGCAACGCTTTGGTGTCCGATTCATGAAGAATTCCATTTTGTGAAATTCAGTGACGGATGATATTTTTTTAATAATTCTGAAACCGCTCCTCCAAATCTTCTCAAATTTTTACTGGAGATAGAACACGTGACTATCAATCTATGGTACAAGTTTCAAAGCGCCTGCCTCATCGATTCAAAAGTTAAAGGGCAAATACGGCGAGAGAAAAAATGAAATTCCGTGACATTTGGCCAAGCCGTGTAGTAAGTTTCTGCCCATTTCCACCCTTCCTCCAGATCTCATACTTTTTACAAGTCGTCTACTACCGATAGTAAATTTTCGATTTTAGTGCAAAAACACGCAAAGTTCTCCAGGTTTTTCAGAAGCTTTTAAAAACCCATGCTATTGGACCTAAATCCATTTTTCTCAGCTAAATCCATTTCTTTCTCAATAAAAATGGCTTATTAGCTCGTCAAAGTGTATCAAATGTGGTACTGTTTATGTGGTACGTCCGACACATTATTTGGGCTATCAGTATGCAAGTGAGATAGTAAATTCAGAAGATGTGCACAGCAAATTCAGCTCTCTGTTCTCTTATCTAAATAGATCTCATTTTTGCCAGTCTAATAAAGTGTCTTATATAACAGACACTATTTTTCGTCTCGTTTAAAAATGAAAAAAACCCGTTGGTATCGTCAGTCATACACGTGGCGAGAGTATCTATCTATATATACGTTTATATTACGTGGAGCGATCTATCCTTTTCTAACATTTTTCAAACGAAGAAACATACTTCCTATAAACGTGTATATATATATAGATAGATAGATACTCTCGCCACGTGTATGGTTGACGATACCCTTTTAGACTCTTTCGTATCAAAAATTGTTGTTTCTTATTCTTTTTTGTGACGTATACGGACCTAGTTAATCTGCGAAGGGAGATGTGTCTCAAAAGAAAACATGTCCAAAAATCCGATAGTGTAACATTGCGACTAGCGAAAATGAGACCTATTTAGATAAGGGAACAGAGAACTGAATTTGCTGTGCACATCTTCTGAATTTACTATCTGACTCGCATGCTGATTTTTCCTTTTCAGATAGAGATTATAACATGACAAAGCTTAACGAAGGCATTAAAATTTGATTGCACTATATTCTCGAAGAAAAGTCCGAGTAAAACGTAGTGGAATTAATCGTAGATAACAAAACGGTGACTGGAAAAATGTGGAACTGGTAACATTATCGCACACTATCAAGATGACCGTTCGGACGGGTCAAAGAGGTCCCAAAAACAATCGTGACTTGACGCTGTTGCTCTGCGCAAAGTGGCACTTTGCGGACCTCAGTCATATCCGCAGATAGGACGTTGTGTTTCGTTAACGAACATGTTGTTTAAGATGGATATCGGGACGGTCATCTTGATGGTGTCCGATAATGTTGATTTGAAATAATTAAAACACGACAGGTGTATAGTCACAACAGTAGTTCGGACAGGCGTCCTCACTCGTCTTTTTCTGCGGCGTCCGGACGTTGTCATCCCATCCAAAAGTGGCACTTTTCCCACAGCTTTTTTAGCCTTGGTCACTCGTCCGAGGTCGAAAACATACCCCACTTTTTAGCCAAAAAAAGTGGGGTATGTTTTGTTACCTGGGTAGTAGTATGCCAAAAAAAGTGGGGTATGTTTTGTACCTGGGTAGTAGTATGCATCGTTGTTGCTGAATAAGGCGCACGTACTTGGTTTTCTGCTTGATTTCTTTAGAAGATGAACTAAATGATGATACCGTTCGTTTAGAAAAATTCGACTTTGAGATATTCGACAGTGTATCATCCGTGACATAACCGTGTGCATACTTTAGTATTATCAATTGTACTTACTGAAACAGTTGATAATATACGTTGATCTATTGATCGATCGACCAGCTGTAAATCATCCGCTAGATCTTCATGAGGATTTAATGGTACAGCTGACTGTGGTTGAATGTCATACACAGATATGTCACTTCTCTTTGTCCTTGCATTAATGACCGATTCAGCATCATACAATATATCCAAAGAATCAACCGAAGAATCTGTTGAAGTTGCCCGAAGAGGAGATACACCGGATTCACTAGTAGTAGGTCTACAATTAGAGCCGTCATATAACAGAAATATCAGTTATCAGTTACTTGGATTACCTTGGCCGATTAGTGGTTTTACCGATTATGATTTGACTTCTTTTTATACTCCTGAAATAAGTGCCTCTTGTATGTGATTTTCTGCCACGTTTTCTCCATGTTTCGGGCATAAGTACATCTAAAGGCTTTCTTGACTTTCTCGGTTGAGCTGATTGTGTTACATCGAATCATCCAGCCTTGAAACGTGCTACAGTACTTTGGTAAGCCTTTGTAACAAAATCAGCTGGCCTGAGTCGCGTTTTCTTTTGCAACACTACGTCTTTTATAATTTCAAAATACGATTCGGCTATTGCATTTGATAAACATCCACGACTAGAGCCCTGCGGGATAGAAGGACAAATATTTACGGGATCGGGATCAAGCTTACGAACGGGTTCGGGATCGGGATTCTTTTTCCAATTTATTGGAAGAGACACATGCTGTATACATAGCAAATCAGGCAAATTATTTTTCGTCCGGTTTCGAACGAAACAGTATACATATTCTGGTCGGTTTTTTGCACGTAGATTCCGAATCCGGCAACTGTTTTTTGGCGTCTAGTCTAGTTTTCGATAAATAGACGAAAAACTGGTTTTACGTGGAAACTAACGCGTTTTATTACTTTCTCTCTTTTTTTTTCGTTCTGAATATATATGTTTTTCTTTCCATTTTCTCTTTTTCTGTTTTATCGTGTGAACGAACAGAAAGACAAAAAGAATATCCATCTAAGCTTGTATCAAGCACTGCTGTTACTTTAGTTCAGTATACTTGTTCAAAATAGAGTAGATATAAAATATCAATTATAATAAATCCTAGAGAAAAAAGCAAGACTATTAAGAAACGCTACAATTACTTGTATAGAAAGCATTTGTATGCTCTCGCGGGGCACAAAAAGTGAATATGTGACTATGTGTCGAAAACTTGCTTTTTTAAACGATAATCATCCATTAGAATACTGGTGACTTTTGCCTCCGGTGAACAGATTGTCAAGAAAATTTAGCTCTATGCATAAAATTAAATCAATATGCCGGCAGCATAAAGTTTATAATTTGATATTAACTTTTCTCTGATGTCGACACAGCCTATACGTTTTTTT